CCCAGTGCCGCCCGGGGTGATCTGCATAATCGGTGGCCGGAATCCTTGAGAGGCGAGCGAGAGGAGCTCGCCTTTGACAGCTTCGTCAAGACAGCGCTGTCAGCCGCGAAACGGGCTGCCACGCGCTGTCAGCTCACGGTTAACATTCAGGGTCGGAGGTCAGTCTACATTCAGGGTTGCAGCTCAGTCTCTGTCGATGTAAAGCCCCTAGTTTCAGGGGTTCTATACGTCGATGCGCTGGGCGACTCGATAACGTCCCGATGTTACACTTGGTCCGCGTTGGGAGGTTTTAATGGCGTGCTTTGGTGTGATTTTTTTTTTTTGCACCGAAGATCACACTCTAGGGCAAACAAGAAATCCTTCGAGCACTGGTGCTGGCGCTAGAGTTTTCAGAGCGCCCCGTAAGCGCAACTCGAAGGATGATGTTTTGCTGCAGTGAAACACTATATCCACCACTTCGCCCCTCTCCCCTTTCAATGGAGAACCCTGCCAGCGCCTGTAGTAGGTTTTAAAGAACGGTGGGAAGGAGGGGGGGGGGGCAAGGTTAAGGTTAAGGGGGAGTCCGTTAAGGGGAGGGGGAGAATGTTTATCGCAGCCCCCCCCCCCCCCCCCATTATATCTATGCATGGGGCTGACTTCGCGCCCCCATCTTAGGTGACTAGGGGAAGTGACTGGTCCCAGAGGCCACATTTTTATTGGAGTGATGTGCAAAAAGACCTGCGTACTGTTTTATGCCACGTTAAAGAATACCCCTTTATCCAATTTAATTCTACAACACGCCTACGACGTGCCTCGCAATCATGTCATGGTTTTGGCACCCGAAACCCCCGAAATTCCTCTCCTTTTTTTAAAAAAAAGAAGCTTAAAGCCTCGTGGAAGGTTCACCGTCAACTATCAACACTGTGACCTGCGTTTTTCACGACCTTACAGTGCATTCTGGGTCAGCCTTTGCATGCTTCGGTTGACAGTGAGCGAGAACAGATTCAACGGAGGCACCACGGTCGCAGATGCAAAGTATCACTTTGTGCGGCAGAACACAGAATAAACAAAAAAATACAGTTTTAGTCTTCTATTTTTGTCAGCTTCGTGTATTATTATGCTTCGTGGGAGCACCGAGTGCGTTGCTCCTGTCTTTGCATGAGGCACAACGCTGCGAGTGTTTTAGGGTCTCATACGCTCCCCTTTCATCCACGCCTGCCCGCTTAGGGGCTTTTTTTAATTTCATTTTTTTATTATTTGGCACCCACCGAAAGCGTACAAGCGGTTTGGTGTCCACGCCCTATTTCGGTGGCGTATAAAAAGTTGGGCACTCGGCGAAAGCGATGTGCAGTCGAGGCGGAGACGAGATACTCTCGGGTTTTCCTTCAGTCGGCCCTGTCACCTCCGCGTGGAGCTACCGAGAAGACGCGCAGTATGCTTGCCGTAAGTGTGAACGTGTTGCACGGTCGTGCGAGCACTTGCTCGTCTCTATAACGCCGCTAATATCGTTATTCGTTTAATGAGTGAAGTATTTTCGAGAGACAGTAGCGACCACAAGTTGTGTTGTTTATTTATTTTATTTATTTATCACATACTGCGGACCAAGTATGGTCCATGCAGGAGAGGGCAATACAGTTCAAAATTCTTCTACATACATACACTTCCGCTGCAGTATACATTCACTGCAGAACAAAATTCATGTACATTAGAAATTCGTGAAAAACAAGGGACAAATACAGGCAAAGAAGCAGACTTAAGCGACAAGAAAAGGGTATAGTATCATCTCGGCGTGTCGAGCATAGGGGAATCATGGGGCAGAGCATTCCAATCTGGCTTAATTAGGAAGCTCACCTATATATACAACGGAGTTGTCCCTTTCCTGCTCGCTCAAACGCCTTACCGTTTCAAAGTTCTTTATCGTCCCCTCTCGAGCGAGGTGTACCGTGTAGGGCTGTGCAGGCTCACGAACTGAGTTACAACTTCACACTGGCCGTTGCCGGAAGGGGGGGTGGGGGCTAGGTTCCACTTTTTGCCCCCGGAATTCAGACAGAAGGGGGTGTTTTATCGAGGACAAATGATGTGTGTTGTTCAAGGCTTTCAACAGGTGGACCCCCACCCCCGAAAAGATTCCTGGCAACAGGCCTGCCTTGACACATCCTGCTGCGGCCTCATCTTTTGATTGCAGCTATATAGTAAAATGCGCAGCTATTGCGGTCACTTAAATACGGTAATTATGATTCCCTTTTTTTCATTGGTGATTAGAAAAACATTTTTTTAGTCCGCAGAATACTTGAAGAAAAGAGAGGACGAGATACGAGGGCGCCGTCCTAGGACACACCTAATTGCTCATATTTCGGGCAGATCTGCAGATAGCAGATATACAGATATGCAGATAGATAAGCCGAGTAAACATGTGTAAAACTGCCATATATAAAAAAACGGATTTTTTTGTCAAACATGTTAACAGGCTACTGCCATGTTTCCTTTGTGAATTATTTATCGAGAGAGAGAGAGAGAGAGAGAGAGAGAGAGAGAGAGAGAGATTAATAGGGAGGAAAGGCAGGGTGGTTAACCAAGCTTGGCTCGGTTGGTTACCCTACGCTTAGGGTGGGGGAAAGGGAGAATAACAGAAAGGAAAGAAATAGAAAAGAAGATGAGTAAGAAAGAGAAGGATTAATAGTCCGCTCGAGACAACACAGCACGGTCTCACACTGTTCTTTCGTGGCTTTGCGCGTATGGTAAACCGTCGGCCAAGGTCTCAGGATCTTCTTTTCTGTGATTCTTTACCAAGGTTGCTTCAGGAATACTGAGGAGAAAATAGCGCAAGAACGGGACTAAGAAAGACTACACAACACAAGCGCTGACGAACAACTGTGTGTATGTTTATTACACCGGGGAATATATAGCTGAAAATGGAAACAAAATAAAAACCATCACGTGCGCATAAAGATGAAATGCGAGATGAATCTGCCACTAGTCGAGATGTAACATATTAGTAGCTCAAAACCACGTCTCTTTTTAGAGAAAATGAGTGAATTAAGGCTTCCCGAAGCACATTTTTTCTTTCTTCCTTATATGGAAGTCCAGGTTGCATCTCTCTTAACCATATGGTGGTTTTGGGACGTTAAACCCCACATATCAATCAAATCGATGGAAGTCCAGGTTGATTTCGTGCTCGATCCTGGGACGATATCGTGAGAGCATCTTGCAATGACGCAAGAGTGGGGCTCAGTCGCACGAGGAACAATGGGCGGCTAAGGCTGTTGTCGCGGTTTTCCCCTCAGTATCATGTCCCCTCTGATTCGGAAGAGTACCCTCTGATTCACTGAATTAACACAATCCTTTGTCGTGGGTCATGGTTATACTTGAGGTCGAGAGAAAAAAAAAATTCAATTGTGACCCTGTCGTATGTAATATAGTTCGCTATTGGCATCAGTTGACACATGTTAAGAACAAAACTGTACACAGAATGCTTCATGTCGAATCGCACGCGCGTAGCCCTGTACGGGAAAGCGTGTTGATAAGTTGCAGCATGCACAATCAGCTGGCCATGTACCATTACTGTATAGAGTCGTGAGCTGCACTGTGACCGGTGGCGGCGGGACGTGCGTGTGTGCCTTAATGTTTTGTGGAAGAAGTCGCACTTGAGGCCTACATGATCGTTGTTATATTAGAAGATTTATGTATATCAAAGGAATGAAGTGCCGTGCCCGGACTTAAAACAGGCCGCTGCACGCCTCCCTCGCATGAAAAGATGCCGAACCTCGAGATTCGACCACGCCCAGAAAACGTCCCCCTTCATTCGCATGCACTGTTTCAAAGTGTTGGTTGATTTCGCTGCGTTCTCACACCAACCTCACAGTGTTGCTTACTCATGCATAAAGGTCGCATTTACGTACTGAGCGTTACCTGGACAGTGGTCACTTATTACTGTCCGCCATGACCACTCAGATACTAAAAATAATAAAGAAAGATGGAGTAAGAAGGGTGTCTTTTTCTCCCACAATTAACAATAATCGTCATCTGACTTGCCATGCGCTTTATTTCTTGGAAAGTCGGCGCTGGCCACTTTCCTATACAGCGCTCTGATAACGCGCGTGTCGTTCCCGACTTGAAAGTATACCAAGCGCGGAGCGATAGTTCAAGGAAAGGAGATAGGTCACGATTAATGTTGTGGAACAAGAAGACTCCTTTTTTTACTCGATCTTTTCTTATAGAAACGAGAGAGTGTTTTTTATCTCGCCTTCACTACCCTTCATTTCTACTTGCAGGCAATATCTCCTTATGGCCACTTATTCATTCGTAAAACATGTGGTCAATGTTGGCATTCGTTGTTGAGCCTATCAGGACTTCGTGCTTCTTGGCTTGCGCTCATTTATCTCACATGCGCAGTCGAAAAGGCACAAAGCCTGTGGTGAAACTGGTTGATCGCGCACGATGGTCGTACGAGAAAAAGGACAGTGCGGGAGTGGGACGAATGGGAAATCAGGGTGGGAGACAATCAACTACACTGATATCCCTCTGAACAATCTGATAGGCTGTTTACTCGTGACGTCACGCGAACAGACTGCTCGCTCCCCCAAATCATGCCAAAATGGACGGCAAACGCCAGGAGATAATAACACGTGGCGCTCGTTCTTCGCACTTTCTAAGGTTTCTAGCTGTTGTAACAGATTGATTGATTGATATGTGGGGTTTAACGTCCCAAAACCACCATATGATTACGAGAGACGCTGTAGTGGAGGGCTCCGGAAATTTCGACCACCTGGGGTTCTTTAACGTGCACCCAAATCTGAGCACACGGGCCTACAACATTTCCGCCTCCATCGGAAATGCAGCCGCCGCAGCGGGGATTCGATCCCGCGACCTGCGGGTCAGCAGCCGAGTACCTTAGCCACTAGACCACCGCGGCGGGGCTGTTGTAACAGAGATATCAAGTACTTGTCTCTCATTTTATTATTTTTTCTCTCTTCAACTCCACTGACGAATCCGTCGACAAACGTCTTGGTATTGCTTCGCAGCCCATTGCAGTGATCCTCCTGGCTGCGGCGTGCACGGCTCACGCCGGCAACCGGCCTGCGCCTCCGGCTCTGCGATACGAGGTGCCAGCTTCTTGGCAGGGCTACGGTCTCTCGCAGTACAACGCGGCGCCCGCAGCCCCAGCGTACGGGCCGACACCGCCGGCTCCCGCCACGCCATCCTACGCGTCGGCGGCTCCTGCGCCGGTGGCAGCTGCTCCGCCTCAGCCAGCTCCCTACCGAGCCCCTGTGGCCCCGGCTCCTGCACCGGCTCCCGCACCACGACTTGTAGCCGGCTACGGCGCACCGCTGCAGCAGGCCGTCACGAGCTCGTACTCGATCAAGACGGTGCACGGAGCACCCGAGGCGCCGACCCCCGTCGCGCGAGCACCCGCCGATCCAGCGCCCCTTTTTGCGGCACCGCCAGCGCCGGCCTCTTACGCCTCTCCTGCTGCTGCGCCCAGGGTGAGATGAAGAGAGCGCATAAAAGAGGGAGGAAGGTTGTTGATAATGGGGATCAGAGCACGGCGCTGGCAAAACCCCCTGGGCTAATCTTTCAGTCGTTCACAAAAACCCTGAAGCGGATAGCTCAATCGGTGAAGCGTCTTATACGCGCCATGTGAAAAACGAAGCTTATAATTACTGACTACCGTATACCAGCTGGTATTTCGTTTGTGACGTGGATGACGTACGTCCCTATTTTTTTTTTCGTCCACCTTGTTTCCCTCCCCTCTGTCCTTCTTAGAACAAATGCCTGTGGCCCGTGCACTTCGATTAAGGTGCACCTTAAAGAACGCCTGATTGTCGAAATTACCGGAACCCGTCGTCCTCCACCGCGTACTTCATAATTATATCGTGGTTTTGGGACGTAAAACCTCAACAATTGGTATACTTCTCTGAACCCCTCTAAACATGCATCGCCACGGAGGTCGGCAGGGGGGGGGGGGGAGGGGCAGAAAAGGCACTTTCTCAAGCCACATTATTACCTGCCCCCTTGTCCTACCGAAGGTGCATCAACACTCCCCGCTTCCCCAGCTACGATGCAAAATAGTGTTGCACCCCTCCCCCCCTCCCCCCCAAGACAAAATTCTGCTGACCAAGACCTTATGCGCACACCTACTTTCCACATTTTATTTATACGTGACAATTTGCTCCATGGCTTTTCTGGCTTCATTGCGTTTCTTGTTATAGTTTTGACCAGCAAAAATCAAGTCTCTGGGGTATACAGGCTTCATAATTCTCATTTGTTTCGTAGAAGTATGCTCATGTGCAAGATAAAAGAAAAACGAATTAAATCTTGCAACTGCTTGTTTTTCCTGCAAAGGGGTTTGCCAATCCTGGTCCAGCCGCAGCTCCGGTGGCGTACGCAACACCGGCATCACCAAGCAGGGGGCTCGGAGCTCCGGCCGCGCCCTCCTTCGGAGCGTACCCCTCCGTCGGCTACGCCGCTACGGGAAACTATGAGAGATATGTCGGATGTGAGTCACAACACACTAGCTTCCCTTTTTATTGAGCTTAGAGTTGAAATAAGATTGCAGATGTTTGGCGTCTAGCACACTTTGTAATGAGCTACACTGAATCAATCTGCACTGAACATAATAAACCAGTTTTTGTTTTGCTTGGATGTTATGAGATTTGGGCGAATTGGCATCGATTTCCCAAGTAGTAGGGCAAGCTTGACGAGTTGGTGCAGTTTCATTACAAGCTGAAACAGCGCGAAAAAAAAAATAAAAGTAGACAAAACGGGAGACGGGAGGAACATTGAACTCATTCTTTTCCTCCCGCTAACTGCACTTTTTTTTTTTTTTGCACTCTTTCTGTTCGCGATGATTCCTGTGCACGGAGAGTCACATGCTCTTGCTGGGCTCCACATCTTATTGATTCAGTAAGGCTAGCACATTTGATACTTGACCTCATGCTACCGCGTTCGACAACTAGATTGTGGTCGTAGGAATGCGATCGCTAAAAGTGTTTTGCTGCCTCGCTCTGGCGGTCGAAAAAAATGTATCCTTATTTTTACAGAACAAGGGGATATGCTACGACTGAGAACAAAAAATAACAAAAGAGAAGACCTTCTTCACTCAAAACAGAATAGACGATTCTTCTCTTTAGCATTTTATTGTAGCGCGACACAAAATATATAAGTCTTGCCTTCTTCACTCAAAACAGAATAGACGATTCTTCTCTTTAGCATTTTATTGTAGGGCGATTAAAAATATAGAAGTCTTGAGTTGTGTGTAATGAAGGGAACAGATGGCTCGCGACAGAGGCGGGTGTCAATTTCTCACCGAATTCACTGGGTTAGATGATCGCCGCTCATGCTTTCTCCGTTTCTTTCTTTTTTTTTCAGAGATAATACCGTCTCATGAGACATTTAAGCATGGTCTACCGGTCCCTTGGTCCTATCACTCGCCCACCGCCTGCAATACTCGACAACGCCAAGTGCGCCACTCATTACAAACGCCGCTACATCTCACTACAAGTGCAATATACGGTCAACGTCACGTCCCACTACTTGTGTACAGGAATAAAGCTAAAACGTTCGATGTGTTGCTCGGTTCTGATATTCTTCGCCAACATATCACATAGCAGTTGTTTGTCGTCAGCTGATGAGTATCAATAGACGAAATGTTTTTGGTCGGTCATCACAAATAATTATACTCCACTGGAAAGACCGTTACGTGGGGCATTTTATTGCGTCACTGTTCGCGATTTAAGAAAAGCCATAGGAACGTTTTGCTTAGTTTCAACAAACATTGTCATTGGTAGACGTGCCGTGGAACCGAAACAAAACTATTTATTGTTAGATAGATGGGCAGCACGACGGCCTATCTTTTTTTTTTTTGTAGCTGCTCTGCTATTCTCGGCGCAAGTGAGTGAGAGTGCTATTCTCGGCGCAAGTGAGTGCAAGGGAGAGAAGAGATTGGCATGCTAATGATGCTGCATTATGCCTTTAGTGGTGGGTTCGTAAATGCTTACCGTCTTAGCACGGCGGGTCTTTATATTATTGCTGCTACCGTAGCTGGGCACAGTACAACTGGTTCGTGCATCTCATTTGTTACGACGGTAAAGGAGAGACTGCTTTATTAGTACGGTCGCACTATTGCGAAACAATACTTTGCAGATTTTCTTGAAAGGACGGACCCGATATTCGCAGCTGCTTGGACAAGAATACAAGCAGTGTGGGTTTTCTGGAATGCCCCTTGCCGATGTTGATGAGCGTATACTGAACTGCTTGCAGATATTCAGCCAATGTCACGAACTACCATTTCTGTGTCCTCGCGTCACGCCGAGTTAACAGGCGCCGCGCTTCTTCCCCTGACCGTGAGAACACTCGGAGATTCAAAAAAAAGTTTCTTTTGGCGTTTGGCGGGCTACCTTTTTTACCGCGGCCGCCAGAACTAAAGAAAGGCAGCTGCCTCGTTTTGTGGAGATAAGGAGCAGCGCCAAGACGCCCTGTTGTTTCCATGTACTGGGTACTGCGTGGCCTAAATTACTCTACGGAACACCGCTGTCCTTCGGGTCCGCGCAGAGAAGCGACACGTGGTGGCGACTTCGTGCCCCGGTAAAAGCCACAATGGCGAGCTTCCGCCGATCAGGGACGTCAGACCATGACGCTGTGCGTCTCTGAGTGATGAGCTGCCGACGCTCAAATCAGTGCCAGATGTCCTGGCATGGTGGCCCCTCGGAGGCGCCTAGACCGCGATCGCCGTTCAACATAGCTTTGGCGGTCGGCGCGAGATGACAAACACGTTTCACCCCGCTCGCTGGAAGCAAGATTCGCCGGAGGAGGCAACATCACCGGGACCATGCACGTATTTGGTTTGTGTATGATCCCGGCTGCGGCGGCTGCATTTTCCGATGCAGGCGGAAATGTTGTAGGCCCGTGTACTCAGATTTGGGTGCACGTTAAAGAACCCCAGGTGGTCTAAATTTCCGGAGCCCTCCACTACGGCGTCTCTCATAATCATATAGTGGTTTTGGGACGTTAAACCCCACATATCAATCAATCATGGTTTGTGTATGTGTGTTTGTCGGGGGCGGTTATTGGATGTGTCGTACATGTTATTGGACAGTGCCGTATCGACCTATTCCCCGATCTAGGGTTCTGGGGAGATGAGACTGTATTTAATCAGCCCTCACGTGCTGCTTAGGGTAATTCACGGAGATTGTTCAATGGACAGCCTTTTTTCAATGTATAGCTTTCAATGTAGAGCTTCGGGCCAGATAGCTCGTGCCATGTAAATAATGTAAATTAATCCTCTATACGAAGTTCAACCTCCTCCTGCCTCGACATTTTGATCCCGGATCTCTGGTGCCGCATACCCCGGTCGCAACGCTAATCAGTCTGGTTGCTTGTATACATGTGGTAGAAGAATATTGAGTGCATCTCCTAGAAACATTTAGCGTGGCTTTATATCGGCTCGCCACATGAACATAGCCATTAGTCTAACTGAAACGCTTAATCAACGTCTGCCACGAATGCGTGCTCATCGGAGCTTGAACTTAGGTTAGCTTAACTGAAGCCCCTCCATGCGTTTTCCGCCAGTAGTAAACGCGATGGAGGGACTTTAAGCTCAAACTGCCTGGGTAGACCATCAAGTCTCAGCTCCTGGAAACATAGCGTTGCAACGCCGCCGGCATCGCAGTCGTGCCAGAACTCTTCGGGACATCTCACATCCGATCACCGCGGGCCCAATGCTGCCGGTCATCCCACGCATGCCATCACCTGTTAATACTTCTAAACTTTAGTGGTTTTAGCTACTGTTTAAATAATCACCTGTTTGTTTCAGTGTGTTAATTCAGTACCTTTTAATACTTCTGTCTTGTAAGCTCATTTGCTGTTTTTTTTAAATATACGTTGTAGTTGTTTGAAGAATCCTTGTGCCACATGCTAGTATATTAAATCGACCCTTTCATTCGCTCACACGTCTCTGATCTCTTCATTGATTCTGCTTGCGTACCGGGAACGAGCTTACCTGCTGTCATTTCCGCCACTCAATTTGCGCTGGCAACGCAAGAGTGGCAGCTTGTAACAGTCAACGTTCTGCTAATATTTAATAGGCGTACTGAAATGTTGGGCAGGGGTGGGGGTCTTCAATACTCCGCGTAATTTCGTTTGTATGCGACATGTACACATACAAACATGCACATACAGATAGAAGTGTCGGGCTCTCCCCACGACAACTAATTAAAATCCGGGCAGCATTACTGACATAGGGCTCACGCAAAGCATGTATGGCATACACGTTATTGTGCGGTCCTTACACCTTACAGACAATGCATCTGCGAAGTCGTACTGGCTTGAGCACCGACTGAAAGGCAATTTTCGTTCTGCCCCGTCTTAAATACATGTAGGCCCGTGTAAACCCCATCAATTTTGAGCGAACGAGCCTCACTACATTCATCGCCGGACTTTGTGTACAACTCACTCGACGCTGGCGTCCACGACAGTGGGCTGCGAACAGCAGCCCGTAAACTGGCTGTCCAGTTCGGAGTGGACACCTCAATGCCGCCGGAGCGGACCGCTCGGGAGGACACGCCCCGTGGCGACGGCACGCCTGACCCCATCCCTCAAGCGGTGACGTGGACGCCGTAGTGACCGCCGTATTCTACGCAGGCGCGCCCACGCGTGCATGTGGCCACAGCATCGGCGTCGCTCAGGCCCGAGGCTGGCGCTTTTTCTTCCAAGGAAAAAAAAAACAAAAAAAGTGCGCGAGGCCTATGCACGCTATAGCGAGGCAAATGGGTGCGCCTATGCAAACGACGAAGCGTTTGCACGCTGCGAATGCCGCTCGCCAGCCGAGGCACCACATATATGACCCCCCCCCCCCCCCGCCCCCTTTCATCTATACCGCCTCTAACGTGTACTCGCCGCTCACGAATGTTGCCCTCAACCCACCTTGACTGGCGCGATGATTGACACCTTGTCGTACGGCGAAGTTTGCCTGATTCAATGTGCAGCTGTCTGAAAACAACGCCTTAGTTACTCCTCCACTAAATCTATACAGTTTGATAAGGGCTTCTTTGGAGAATTCGCATGGAACGTGGCCGTGAAAATCCCTTGGCTAGAAATGCTTCCAGGTGATAATTTAAGCTGATACTGGTGCTAATAACGAAACTTCCAGGTGTAGCTTACGCACTTAACCACCAAAAACTTTCGTGGACTCGGCCAGTGGTGTTCAACAAATAAGCAAAGCCGTATGGAAGTTCGCCAGCAGCGGTCTTCACCTCTAAAGGCCCTGGAATGTCTGTAGTGGTATAGTCTTTGAAGCAGGATGCAGATCTCCCAACTGCACGCGGATCGCCTTGACCTCTGTGAAGATTAGCGAATGCTGTTCAAAGCTTAAGTTATATAAATTGGCACTTGCTCTAAAGACCTTGTCAAATGGTGACTGAATATATAAACTGTTCTTGTGCTATACTTGTATACGATTACCGATGAATAGAAGGCTTGATAAACCCCCCTCCCTCCCCGCCCCAACTTTTATGCGTTGCTAGTTTCCTTTCTCACTGAATGTACTCGGCATCGAAGATGCCTCGTGCAGAGTTGGGACTCGAGTGCGGTACACGCGATTGCTTTGCGAGGACCTTTTCCATGGCTATATGAACAATCGCGGAGGCCTTTGGTCCCGGCTTACTTTGGTGCCGTCGAGACCTCGTCATGTCATTTCCGAAGGTCGTCGTCCTTGGCAGAACTGGTGGGATATGCGCCTTCATTCGACATCGAAGACGGGGTGCGTGAACTAGACCTACCGTGTCGCTAGAACCGCGTTGCTTGAAAGATGCGAACACATGTTTGAAGGCTGCGATTCTTTGCGGCTTCCGAGCAGGATGTACAATAGCCCTTGCTTTTTGACTGACAGGTAATCAGACGAACAAGAAGCTTTCACCACTGGAATGCTTTAGTACAATTCAACGCAACAAGACAGAACGTGTGGTTATTTATATTGAAGTGATTCTTTTTAATAATTATCTTCCCCCTTCCAAGCTCCCTTGCTCCTTCCCTCAGTGACAAGTCACACCGAAAACTTCTTTTCTCGTTAATCTGATGCGACAACACCGTGACTGTTCTTTGAGAACCCCACGAGGAGGGCTACGGGAACCAATGAGAAGGCGTTGTGGGAACGTCGTGTCGACCGAAAGACGAATCGCGTCATGATAACATAACTGTTTATCAACTTAATAGCAGCAGCGTACGAGTATACAGACGCAGTAATTCCGGTAGCTTGTTTTAGCAGCCACCGCAGGCTACGCATATCTCTGGCGATGTTACGGTGGCGTAGTTAGCTTATCGGAAGGCAATGCAGCGTGCAATTATGTGACGGTGAGACGGAGGCTGCACGGAAATATGCGAGTAGTGTGTAGCTCCAGCATCTTTGCTATAATTTTTTAAGGAGGATTCAAGAAGAAATTGTAGTTAGGGTCGGCTATTCCTGACTAAACACGTGGCAGAGGGAAAACCTTTGGCCAGTTGGTTTGCGCGGTTCAACATCCCAAACAGACCGAGGCTGTGAGAGAAGCCGTAGTGGAAGGATATGGATGATTTCGACCACCCGGGGTACTTGTAATCCTTGTACTTCTTGTCAGCAGTCAAGTACCGCACCGTAACCATGGTGCTCAGCATCATTGATCGATTTGATTGATTTGTGGGGTTTAACGTCCCAAAACCACCATATATGATTTTGAGAGACGCCGTATGGAGGGCTCCGGGGATTTCGACCACCTGGGGTTCTTTAATGTGCACCCAAATCTGAGCACACGGGCTTACAACATTTCCGCCTCCATGGGAAATGCAGCCGCCACAGCCGGTATTTGGTCCCGTGACCTGTGGGTCACCAGCCGAGTACCTTAGCCACTTGACCACTGTTACGACCGTCATCAATATTGAAGTTTCTCGGCCTTTGTGAAAGGGACGAAAATATTTGGACGCATTCCACGTGAGGGTGTGCTGTCAAGACGGGTTGGTTTCCTGTCAGCAAAACGTGAAAAAGGGGCCAGGCCCGGTCTGCGCAAGGAAGGCACACGAGCCAAGAAAGGTCATTGTGAGCTCGACTCTATGCAAAGCTTTCCAGGCAAACGAGGATATTCGCAGCTAAGCCCCTGCTCCTAGCAAACAACGAGGAATGGAATGTGGGGTTGAAGGGAAGGAAAATGCACTATGTGCTGCAGCCCTTGCGGGAGCCCGCCTCGGCGAGGAAGGATTAGTCGACCACTCCTTCTTCCCCCCTTTTTTCCATAGGATCGGCTGAATGGGGTGGCATATTTTGACGATATGCTGGCCCACCACTACATTGTCCTACCCAAACAGTCAGGCAAGTTTGACACGTGTACTGGCAGCCGGTTTTTTGAACCTTAGCCAGCTGCCAGAAGAATCTTGGAAACCAAAATCATCGCACGTGCAAGAAACTTGGTGACGTGTGCGAAAACGTCGGTGCAGTGCTTTGGTGACCATATTTGGGCATCGTGTGGACTGTGACCTCTGCCCATGAATTGTGTGGTGTCTTTCCTCTCCTTCATGGGTGGAGCACCAAGACCATGGAGCGCCGTATTCTCTGAATCCGCGGACAGTGCTTCCAGCGTTGGCAACGCGGCGCTATATAAACGCAAGACTCTTGTGTATTTTTCAAGTTCTACAGTTCAGCAGCTCTCATGTACAGTTCTGATCACTTGATCACCTCCTTTCTAATTCTCAGTTACTAACTATATAAATAAATTGTTGTCGTTATTACAAGCGCCTCAAGATGGATAACATTGAAGTGGTTTACAGTGATTCCATGGCAGCACTACGGGCGTTCGCCAAGGGGACGGTCTGTGAACAAACGCTGAAAATACTGCAAGGCAAGAACATAACACATCATCTTCTGAGTTGGTTCCCAGCTCACCTTGGACAAATCAACGATTCCCCACCCAATCTCAACGAAGCAGCACACGAGGCGGCGCGAGAACTCTCCAACCGCGCCTCCCCGCGGATGCGTTCTACCGGTGAAGGGGATAACCAGGAAATTCTTACAACATATAACGAGCTCACTAAGCATTTCTACCTGTCTAGAAGGATTTTCCCTCCACCTCACAAAAATCTAACCCGGCCCCAAGCACTTACATTAAGGCTTTTGCAAACGCGGATGTACCCTACTTTGAAAATGTTACACATCATGTACCCTGACCCAAGTAATCTTTGTCCACATTGTGGGGAAATAGCTTCATTAGAACACATGCTCTGGCAGTGCACCAAATTCACTCATTTATCGAACATCACCTCGGCCAGATGGGAGGCGGCAATCCGCAGCTCGTCCTTGGCAGATCAGCTCTGGGCTGTCCACCAAGCCCGCGAGGCGGCTGAGGAGCTTGGCATCTCAGTCCCCACGTGGGAGCTGCCCGCAACACAGTGATCTGTGTTTTGGAGGACCAAATAAAAGTTTATCCAATCCAATCCAATCTGACTTGTTCGACGATGGGACCTAGGACGGGGGCCCGCTACCAAACTGATGTTGAATTCCAATGGCGGAGTCGGTGCAGCCGACCGACTTCGCGAGCGAGCACTCGACTCTGGCGTAGAGCAAATCCTCCAAATCCGCCATCGGAACATAACCCGCCCTGCTGGAGCAAGGCGGAAGCTGCCGCGTTACCCAGGATACCTTGCGCGTGGTCTCTTCCGCTGTCTGCTTCCCACGTAGTTTACCAGCATCGCCGCATCGTTCGTTTTCTTGTTCAGCGCTATTCATCTGTGTGGAATGGATATTACGCCAAGCGTGCAACAGCTATTGTCCACGATGTCTGCTGTCACTATCGAGTAGCAGAAGCATTGCCGCACGCTTTGCTGAGGTAGCCGAGCCGTCCATGCCGTCCGCCATTATCAACACAACTCGCGCCGCGCCAGCCGCGCCCCCAAGCAGGCAAACGTGTTAAAGGAAATGCGTCACGCTGAGTTCCGGTCCACTCCACCGATTTCGGCGGAGCAGTTTTTCCTGCTCCACGGAGGGACTCCCACTCTGAATCCCCTCCGGCTCTCTCATTGGAACATTTGACTCTCGCTCTCACTCTGTCATTGGAACACACTTGCTCTGAAAGGAGCAGAAAAACTTGCTCCGACTCCGCCATTGGAATTCAACATGAGACCCGCGGGACCCGGAGTCGCAACACCACCGTGGCGGGGCATGGTGCTCGGCGTCATCGCAGCACCACCACTGCACAAACAATGAATGGTGATAAGGCTGGAATATTCAACGGCACATGTATAAATACGAACGCACGTCGTCGCTTGTGAGTTGATCGACGGCCGATGCTCTGTTCACAGCTATCAATGTCAGTGCGTTACTATAATCAGGCACTGCGCCGTGCTCCCGACCGGGTTGCAGAAATTAGGTGCCTTTTCTCTTCTTCTAACCACTACCACCACCACTATAATCCGACTTGTCACTTATTGGCCACAAGTTCGGCCAAATAAACAGTTTGATCGAACATCTGGTCTACTACTTTCGGCCATGTCACGACACAGTGACAATACTTATTCAATAAAACTGCTTAAATCTTCGGGTTTCGTACCCATTGGGAGTCAGAGGCAATATATAAAAACTCTTGGATCGACATGGACGAGTGAACAGAGCTATAGTTAGCTGCAATTTTTCGTTATATACGGCCCCAATACTGGCTCTGCTTCTTCACCTTTCTCGGTATCAGAAAATTGATTTTAGCCATTCACTTATCTCCTCGGGCACTCACGTTCTCATGACTCGCCATCGACAGTCCGTCGCGCATGAAGTAACTTAAACAGGGCCGAGAAATAGGCAAGCAGTGTGAAGATTGACTGCCGTAACACCGGGGCACGCCGAAAGTCAGCACCGTGGGTGTCGACCTCGGCAAAAAGCGCGCAATTATTATCGCGAAAAACTCTCTCGACCCCGCCAGAGAGCTCGCTAATGTACGCCACCGTCCGAAAGCTGTCATGGTCAGACTGCAGTCATGCTTGCGACGGAGTGGACACTCCATCCCCACTTCACGGTGCAGTCATCACCGCGCTTATGACGACAGCCCTTGACACGTTCCCGTTTCTCAAACCCGGAGGCGACCGTATTCAAAGGCAAAGCGTACTGAAGACTTCGTTGTACATGTAAAAAAAAAAAAATCAGAGAGAACTAGTCCGATTGCGCCCGCAGTCACTAGACACCGATAGCAAGCGTCGCGGTTGCGTTTTTTTGTTTTGTGACCAAAGTGTTGAAACGGGAAGGTTAATAGAAACAACGTAATGGACGTACTGAGACCATTAAACGGCCTGTTCTGCTTCGAGTGCTCAGAGAATTAATGGCAAAAAAGTATAGTGAAAAGAAATGAGAGAAATAAAAAAGAGGCCCATTCCCCATATGACAGATAGGTTTGGACGAAATGGTTGTAACACGCTTCTACGTTGGTAAAAGAAACAAGCCGTGTAAATAATGTTAACTGCGGCAGTATTGTGGTGTAGTTTTTGGCTTTTAAGGTTTCCTTTTTCCTTTTCTGATTGTGCAGACACGGTCTGTGGAAAAAAAAAAATGATACGAAGTAGCAGCGGTTAGACCTTTGATTTACAGTGTACCCTTATAGTGCAGCAGGCTATAAAACATTGCGATGACGAAGTAACATTGCGAGGCGCTTAAAAAAAAAGTATTTTCTTCCCGGCTAGGCCACCTGCGGCCACCCACTGGAAAGAAAACAACCATATCATTGTCGTCATTAGAAACGCAATTTGTTGCATTTTTGTTTCAAGACGTGAAGGCATATGGGAAGGTAGGCTGCCTCAGAGGTGATGAGCCGGGATAATACGCACTTGTCATTAAGTTCAAGCCCACTTTAGCGTGGAATCAAAACACTTCTTTGATGATTTTATTCTGATCGGTATGGGATATACTCCAGCAGTTAACACGCTCAATTGCATTGTGCAAAATACTGCAGTTAATTATTAAGTTTTTGGCGGCGCTGACTGGATAGCAGGGCCTGCATGGTCAGTGTAATTGAAATTTGCAACACTCGTTTTATGCGTCCCCTTTGTGTTCAAAAAGTTCCTGGAAGCATGACACAATGCGCTAATTTGAATAATGCGATGATATAAGCATGAACAAGTGCGCTGTGCTATACTCATGCTAAAATCAATAAATCCCGCAATACATCCTGAGAGAGGTCTGTGTCAATTTCCTAAAAAGCTAAATAACATAATGGGATGATGTAAGATGGAAACTGCGAGTATATCAGATGCCTGAAGCTGTGGTGCTGGCTCTATTCTTATTGATTTATTTTATATATTTATTTAACAATACCGTAGGCATTTGTACAGGCCCATACAGGAACTAGTTAGAAAAAGTATACATGAGCATGGACATATTAAAATAAAAAAACGAAAGCAGAACACAGAATGCCTCAGTAAATAATGCTTCAGTAATAGATAAAGAACAACGCAAAAAATGCAGAAATGGGATCACACATCAAGAAGCACCATACACTTGACAAGCTTCTGCAAAATATTTACCTCATGAAGTACATGCCTAGGTACAATAAGGAAAGAATTCCAGTTTTGCAATAAATTCATCTACAGATCGGCATTCAACAATTTCACTTGATAAAGCATTCCAAGTTTCAATAGCCTATGGGAAAAAAAAAGAATATTTAAACGTGTCGCATTTGGCCTGATAAGGCTTGATGTGTTCATTGTGACAAGTTCTGATAGAGTGACGATGCGGTGTCTGCGCATAGTCTTGTTTGTTTATGTTTACGTGGTCGTGATAGAGCATAAAAAGAAACTTCATTGCGGCCTCAACACGCCGGCACGCAAGCGTAAGCAATGCTGCCTGATTTCTAAGTGTCCTAACGCTTTGGTGTTGAGAGTACTTCGAATATATAAATCTTAATGCTTTATTTTGTATACCTTCTAGTTTATTTGTACACTTTCTATGAAGCTGTTCAGGCGAATGTCACATGATTATCGCCCCAAATATGCCAGATTATTTTCCGAGGTGGTTGCATGTTGCACATCACTCTGCATGTTTGTGACGTTGGCAGAGTTCACCTTAATTCACTCATTTTCAATAGTATATAAAATATTTAGGAGATGTTGGCGCTTTTGTTAAGCACCAGTTTTTTCACGAATGTGTAAAGCACAGTAAAGAAAAAAAAACACGAAGGAAAAAAACAGCTAGGCAGAGCTCATGTAAGTCCTACTGCCATAATAACACGAAAGAAAACACAATCTACATATAGACCCGTCACAAGACGCTATAAGTCCTCATAATGTGCAGTTGCACGTACGCCATATATGCTGTAAAATAAAACTACATAACGTTCAGTCTAATAATAGCACTCAAATTAAGAAAGTCCAGTTTGCATTTTTTTATTTCTCTCTATTATGCTAGCGGAAGTTTTACCACATTTAAAAAGCGCGACAAACAACGTTAATTAGAATTTATTAAAAAAAAAACTCTCAAAGGCGTTTCAACGGAAGCAGGATGCGAAAACAAGAACAGCTCGTTAAATCCCGCACCTTACTACAGCAAGGGGGGCTGTATCGAGCATTAACTGTATACTAATGCTTCAAAGCCCAATCATATCAAGTGCTTGACATGTCGCGAGCGGCGAACTTGAGGATACTAAATCACCATGTTTGCTTTACCGAAAACAGCCTGTAGACTATATTTGATACTTGTTACTATTGGATTGCTAGATCTAAAGGACAGAAACACTCGGATGGCAAAATCTAGCGCTAACGATCGCGAGGTCACGAAACTAGTAGATAAACCCGCTTACATGTGTCTTATGAAACAGTGCGCGGGCGTCGGTGCATCTAGTTTTGTTACACACATTTCCGGTGTGATGAGCTCAAGCTTTAAGAGTACTTACGTATTCTCCGACATCTGATAAATGCTACAAAGCCGTTCAATTCATTATTATTTTTTGCCTCTTGCGATTGCAGTCAACATTGTTCAAATCGGTTGTACATTCCTTAAGTTGTCTTGACTTAAGAACCTGGAACTAGATTGTCAGATACAGCATGACGTATATAGGAATGCACTTAAACCGAACTCGAAAATAATCTCGTAATTAAGAAGCTGCGCTGCCATAGAATTAGGATCGAAAAGCGCTGATATGATTGCCCCAGACTCTCCCGCGTAATTCCCACACGTCTGCCACACGACGACAAAGCAATGACAATGACGGATCGCAGCAGGGAAACATTTAATCGAACCTCGCAGTGACACACCTCGTGCTATCGCCTTTATCAGCGCGCCAACGGGGCGCTGACAAACCATTTGACCCCCAGCCGGTGCACTTTGTCACGGCCTTCTAGATGTGCCGCTTAATAGGCACCGGAAAGGGTCGCCTCGATTTCGAAAGTTCCACCTCGCCGCGGTCTGGTCCTCGCGCGCACGTGAGGGTGAGATCGAAATATATTTTTTTCTCCGTTGTTGATTCGTTTACATGGCCGTCATGTCGGTGCTCTGCCGTCCCTTTCTCCGCAATCCATCTACAGGCCCCCGACGACTAAGCGGATGGCGATGCTGGCTGGCAAGCAAACAAACAATCAAACATAACGGCGAGCCTGAGATGTCATTCCTCAACGGCGTGCGAGAAAGGGAAAGCCTCCTGCCAGAGTAGGTCATGACTCGCGCGGGCCAGGAAGGAACTCTCCGGCTTCCTTCCAGCACGCCGTCATCTCAGGCGACCTGGGTCATCAGGAACGCGCAGCCCCTTCCCTTCTCGCTTCCTTGCCGCGTAGAGTTCGGCGGAGGAGGGCTCAGAGGTGGGAGGGGGGTACAGGTTCGCCCCCGTTAGTTGCAGCGACCGCCGTAGCGAGGTGACTTGTCCACGCGCCCTCTCTCCTCGGTTTTGAATAAGCGCGCGGCGTCTCCTCCCCGCCCCACGTCAGAAATGGCCATCAACGGCGGACAGGCCAAGACCAAGGAGAGAGGAGGAGAGAGAAAGTGATAGGGGGAGGGGGAATCACGTGAACCTCCGGCAACCGGAGGGCCCTAGCGAAGTGCAGGCGGGAGCGTTTTTGTATAAAAGCGGCCCACCGTCGGGTCTCAGACTATCGCCACACGGTGTCCTACCCCTCCAGAACACTCGTGACTACCACTTCCCCGACCGCGGCTACCGCACGATCCCCTTCCTACCCACGCGGCAGGCTATCCTCCCCCACCGAGTCAACATGAACACCGTAAGTGGAATACGTGAGAACCTCCAGGGTTCCACCCGGTAGCGCGTTAACCGTTTAAAGGAAACTTGTGCATAATGTGGCTAATTCGGGAAAAAAAATTCAAATATTAAGGATAGAAAACTTAGGACTAGTCGAACTGTCAAAGATAGTCGCCATGCAGGTCTGGATAGTTTGAAGCTACTGTGGATTACTCGCTGGGTGTCTAACTTATCGTCCATGAGCTTCTTTTAATGCGCTCTTTGGTGCAAATTAGGTGCTAGTGAAGCCTGATACTTAGCCCCAGGTGGCATGTACTTTGACAATGTGCTGGGACTATTTCGTTATACTAATCTCTTCGTTATATCCGGTATTTCAAAGGCGAGGATTAGCGCATTTTGTTCTGGCTTGCTTTTTTCCCCATCTTTGACACCTTTTCGTAGCATTGTTTCCTTTTTTTCCGTCCTTCGGATACTCGAGAGAAGTAGTGTAAAGTATTGATCGGGTTTAAATCGGGTTTGGTCGTGGAGCTGAAGTAGCGAGTTTCAGCGTGAGTGAACAAGCGCAGGCTAGGTTATGATTTGAAGTATAATGAATGGTCACTGGGTGTACGTGCCGTAAACGTACCGTAAAAACCTTGGAGCTCGCAATATCTTCATTAGAGCTGTTCAAGTTGTGTTATGCTAATGATGCTAAGCGTGTCAACCGGTAGCTTTGGAGGCCGCGTCATAGCAGTTTGCCGGAAATTGTTGCCACGGCCACATTTTGAATGCTTAGACGACGTTCCTGAACGGTATTAAGCGTTGCAGCATGACTGAGCCTTACAAGTTATACTTACTTTATTGCGAGTGTAATCTGATCGCCGACTGCTTCGCATGAAATCGATGCTCACTAGTGTGTGGGATGTGCCATTTTTTATAATACAAATATAGCGAATCACAGTTTCATAGACAGAACTGTGGCACAGCTGTAAGCAGACTAATTTGGGAGGATCTAGTGCACTCACGGCTGGTCAGCTGCGTGTGTTTAGAAAAAATAGTTTGCGATTTAGAGTACTTTGTACTCTACTATGGAAGATCGTAAAGCCGTCCCTCGTGTGTGCAGAAAAAGTGGTTAACGAATTAGAGCGTTGATCACTCTACTATGGGAGAGCATAAAGCGGTCCCGTGGGTAAGCCTACAGCACTTATACAAATGCATTACAATCATTGCAATCGAGTGCAAACAGTGGTCTAGATAAATGGGAACGATGCTACGCAGTGTCTCCAGTTTTCTCAGCATTTCTATTCAGTTATTTTAGCTGATTTAGCTGGTATGGCGTTTCAAAACGGTGATCTATCTTACTTTGTTTATTAGCACGTCGCAAACTTAAAGCAAGCTGATCGCTACGTTCCACCCTGACCGTGAATTCCGAGAAACGAAGGTCGCGAAAAACCAACGAAACGATCAAACCCCGTTCTTCCTGGATTATCGGTGCAAGTTTACCTGAGACGTATAAGAGGGATGTTACCACGAACCGCTTTACGACCCTATAAAAAAAAGCCCGGTCACTGAGACGTGACGAGGAATGCGACCTAAGTGGAAAAGGTTATCGCGTGAAGGCGTGCGCGGATCCATTCACGCTCCACAGCTTCTCGTGTCCGATCAACGTAAGGCGTTCCCAAAACATCGCAGCAGCTGAATTATGATGGGCGCGTGGTGCTTTCGTTTTTTTTTTCCCCCGAGGTTTCCCTGAGTTTCACGTCACCGTTTCTTGGCCGAGCTTATACGGCAACTTTCGTTTTCCTCGTGTATACGTGCTCGTACGGGGCGCTTAATAAAATTCCGACATCTGAATATGTACTACACTGCCCGATTCGCGCACACGGCAGTGTCACGGCGATCGGCTGACCTGATAACTCAGCGTACACACACGCTCTAATGCTGTCCGACGCGCTGGTACAGCGATTACGGTGTGGAGCTGGCAACCCGCAGACCACCGGGCCCAGCCACGGTGGTCTATAGTGGCTAAGGTACTCGGCTGCTGACCTGCACGTCGCGAGATCGAATCCGAAAATGGTGTAGGCCCGTGTGCTCAGATTTGGGTTCACGTTAAAGGAACCCAGGTGGTCGAAATTTCCGGAGTCCTTCGCTATGGCGTCTCTCATAATCATGTAGTGGTTTTGGGACGTTAAACCCCATATCAATCAATCATCAAAGCACGAAATCCCTGATATGCTCATCGCTTAGTGTTGGCGTTGCCCACGTGTTTTATTGATCGATTGAGTGATTCAGAAAAGAGGGAAGAAGGCACCTAATTTCTGTCTTCCTCTTGGTCGACACGGCGCAGTGCCTGCGTGTTTTATGAAGAAAAACTGGCCCCGTATCTGGATGTTACACTGCAAATGTCGTCGAAAGACGATAGTCTTGCATTTGGAGAGAGCGAACAAAACGTTTATTTGATGTTCTGCGCAAGAAAATCGGTGAATGGTATTCTGGAGGCGCTGCGTCAGAGTGCCTCGAGCGTGCAGCGGAGGCGAACGAGCGCATCGCGTCACGTCACACGTGAGACATGAGCGCTATCTGGCAGCAGTTATCTTAGAAAACGAAACGCGCGGCGTGCGCACCCGTCTTGAAGGCGATAAGGTGTAGAAAGCAAAGCGACGGGTAGGTGCCGCCACCGTGGCGTCTTAGCAAAGCGTTGGAAACACTTGCCTTTTCGTTCAAGCGCTGCATTATCAGTGCAGCGTGATAAACACTACTGCCCTTAGAATTACTTATGTATGCCTTGTCTAGTATAAAGGCACGCATACAGAATATTGACGTGTTATGGTGCCTCAGATATGCGCAATAATCGCTTTTCAATTGACAATCAAGTACGATTGCTAAAACTTGAGTAATATTAGTGAGCACTGCAGATGGGGTCCGCCGTTTGGGGTATTATTTGCTGTCTTTTAAGGGCACCGTTAATGGCGTAGGAACAGTCGACTGTACAGACAGACAGGCCAAAATTTTCGCTCGAAGGTCTCTGAGACGATAGTTATAGCGCGAGAACAAAACGACACAGAGACAAGAAGGACACGAAGGACCTTCTTGTCTCTGTGTCGTCGTTTTGTTCTCGCGCTATAACTATCGTCATGCCATACAAACTAGCCCAAGCTGCCTTACTCCTAAGTCTCCGAGACCTTCGCGCTTGTCCTTGTCTTTTTCACGTCCGTGTCTTCTACCTCGTAGTACTCATAGATCATGTAATGTATCCCCCAACTGGTCCAATCGTCCACCTTGATTAGATATATGTGTTCTGTGATATCGTCGTTAATAAGCGGCGAAGGCGAAATAACGCCTGTAGGGAGGGTATAGCGAGGGCGAGATGTAACCACTCTCCCACCTTTGTAACCACTCTCCCACCTTTGTGGTCCAGGGGCCTCACAAGTGTGACACTCTTTTTCGTTCGCAGGTGATCAGCGCCCTCGCTCTCCTCGTCGCCGCGTGCACGTCCGTGCATGCCGGTGTTGTGGCTGCGCCCGCGGTGGCGTACGCAGCGCCCCTGGTTCACGGCTACGCCGTGGCTCCCGTGGCCACGTCGTACGCGACCAAGACGGTGCACTCGGTTGCGCCCGTGCTGGCTGCCGCGCCCCTGAAGGTGGCCGCGCCGGCCGTCTACGCGCCCGCCGTTAAGGTGAGCACTCGTCGGTCTCCAGCCGCGACAGATTCACGAGGACGCTGTATGAACGGATTGCACGTGACATCTTTAACATGGTGGCTTAGATGACGTTGAATTACGTGTTCAAAAGTGACAACCACGTAGCTGGAACGTTATTGGGGCTCTGTGCACGTGGCATCACGGATGCACGACGTGTCTCCAACACGGCGGCTTAGATGACGTTGATTGACGTGTTCAAAAGTGACATACCACGTAGCTGGAACGTTATTGGGGCCTCTGTGCACGAATAATGAAGGAACCAGTACGCGATCTACTGATTAACTCCAACCTGACGTCACAAAGCGCGCCCCCCACCGCGTCGGTGCACCAACGCGGCCTTTTCAATGACGTGAGTGCAAGCCTGCATGAGCCTCAACCGCACCCATGGTTAACACATCCTTATTATTCAAACCAGTAAAGATAGAGTGCTAATTATGCTTCCATGTTGAAATGTGCATCATTTGACATACAATTGTGGTGCCGACAAACACATTAATTTTTCGAATTATGTACGAAATGTTAGCTTCTATGATGTAGTGAATAGCAATGAGGCATTCAACTCGCATATTGACGACTTTGTACGCCTGTTCGTAACGCACTGGTACTCCAACGGGATGGTATTGATGACACCAAAGCTGCACCAGAGCGTGGTGATGAACCCGATTCAATGTGATAACGACGCTGCTTAAACGTTATTGACTTCTGCGCACGAGTGGCGAAAGAAGCTGCATGCGACGTATTGATACACTGAAGTGACGTCACAAATTTTGCGAACTCGCCACGTTGGTACTCCGACATACCAGTTTCGGTGACGTCCGTGAAACCTATATAAAGAACATCGAGTAAGAAAGGTGCGCGTCGTAGTTATTCGCGTGGCAGAATGCTGTTAATGCTCGATTAGTATATATACTCTTTGTCAAGCGAGTTGTAAAACGTAGGGTAGCTGACGGAAACGAGGGCACATCACACGAAAGTTTAACGAACAAAGGCGAAACTTCCTTTACAAATGTAGCTATGTGGAACAATAATTGAGCGTGGATTTATCGGCCCCTTTCTGTATGTGAAGAGCGCATACAACACAAATACTGATCTCAAATAGAAGTAGGTTGCGCAAACACTTCGTAAACGTAAGACAACGCTACATCAAGTCTGCGCAAGCGCAAATAGAATGCAATCCAAATAGGCCTACACTGACATCAGCGCGAACCAAAATTTGTTGAAATGAGGCCACTTTTTAGGCAGTTGCGTAGCCAGGGGGTGGCACACCAGACTCATGCCCCCCCCCCCTCCTAATTGTTTATGCCGTAAATGTCACTCGACCACATCTGCGTGCTCGGCCTCCATCAAAATGCCCTCTCCCCAACCCCCTTGAAAAAAAAAGATGTGCCTTCATGCCTACTTTCAGTCGGGCAGGAAATCACTCGTGAGGCAGCATCAGCGTACATCATCAGCAAACATGGTCATATGAAGCACGTCACAACATTATAGAGGGGACTAGTCACTAGTGATCTATCGGTTTCAAGTGTTCACCTGTTGTTGGCGATTTCGGGATGCAAGCGAACTGTTTCTCGTTTTACTTTTCGTCAGGTGGCCGCGCCAGTGGCGTACGCTGCCCCCGTAGTGAAGGCTGTGGCCCCGGCTTACCCTGCGCTGGCCCTCGGCTACGGCCACGGCTACGGACATGGCTACGGCCACTACGGCTACGGTGTTGCCCCCGCCTACGGCGCCATCGCCTACGCAGCGCCCGCCGCTAAGCTCGTCGGACCAGCCTACGCGGCGGCACCTTACTACGCCGGGTACAAGCACTACTGTAAGTAATCACATTCTCTCTACAGCGCAGATTGTGTGAGTGCCCCTCGATTCACTGGTTACCCTTTGGCTCAAATTCGCAAGTGGACCCTAAGAATTGTAGCACAACTCGTTTGTAGCACGACTCGTTTGTAGCACGAACAAACTCGTAGCAGTTTGTTGTGCATACCTTTAATTAAGGCTTCGGCGCTTAACGAGCCTTACTAACATGTCTTCACCATTGTGCAGTCAATATATTATGCATAATTGATCTTGAATACGCGCACGATCAATCTTTGTCATGTGTAATTGAGCTGCAGCTATTTGTAAAATGTTCCATTACAATAGTATTAAATGTTGAGCTATTTAATAGGGATGCGTTTTTGGTAATAGCACGATATCAGAAGTGACAGAAGATTTTTATGTTAAAAAAAAAAAGGATGAAGCATGCATCAGTGAGATATCGATGTATCTTACGGAATAAGAGTTCGTCATATCTTCTCAGCACATGTGCCGTTAGGTGATGCGCTATGTAACTTTTTATATTATTTTTTAACGCTTCTGCGCAATGTTGGTACACTTCTTTTTCATCACTTTTGTTTTTTTTTTGAATTTGTATTGCTTCAACGTTCATGTGTTCTTCAAGTAAAACTTTCAGTCGCGAGTATAAGCGCTCATCTGTTTCCCTTACGTCTTCATCGATCTCGCGATGTAACCAGAAATGTTTCGTTCTCACACCTCGATTCTCTTCCTTTCAGAGACCACCCCTGAAAAGCGGTGATGACAAGTGGTTCAACTCGCCACGTAAAGCAGAAGGGTGATAGGAAAATGACTTCTGTTGTTTGCAGAAAAAAAAATAAACGAGAAAAGAGCGAAAGAAAGAAAAGAAAAACAAAATACTCGGAATTGTGAGATATGTGTAAATGTTGTATAGAAAAGAAAAAAAAAAAAACGTTGCGTGTGAATAAAACGTGTTCTGTGTGTGCAAAAGTCGAGTGTGGCTGTCACTTTTTTTATTTCATACGAGGAACGACCGCTTGTTCATTTCTTTTCTTCACCAGACGCTACAGCAACGATTACTAATAGCTGTTATTCAGTGCCTAAGGTCTCCCACGGCCAATATAGAGGTCGTGCGTTGAGTTACATGTTGTGGGGGCAGAATTTCGATGCCGGCAGCAGACAAATATACCACTGTGTGCTCCCATCCGTATCATTTTGAAAAACCCCGAGCCCCTAAATTTGGCTGAAAGTTCTGGCTTTCGAAGCTGAGTGACATCGATCAGCTAATACCACTTTTTCGGTGAGAAGCTGTCGTGCAACTGCTCGCAAAGTTTCATTTAGATCTCGTGTAAGCAACAATGCGAATGATCTGTGTATCGAACAGCGGCCTCATGGTGGCTTGATAAAAAGGTCATCGTAGTAAAAAACAAAAAACAAATGCACATTACGTATTTTGATGGCTGGTTAAGATAACACGAGCGAGTATTGCTGAACGTTTCAGTAAATGACGATAGCTTCGAAGTCGGGGATTCATTGATTTACAAGGTTTCCAATTATGAACAGGTAAGTTTGTCCACAAAGAATAAGTTAGTAAAATCTGTATTTTGTGCTCTATTTAGGGCAGTCGTGGCATCGTCCTTCAGTGAGCTGTATCGTTTTTCAAGCCACGAAATAAACTACGTTAATCCCGATATATATGACATGTGTACTTATTCAGAAACCTTATAATCAATAAATGTATTACTACTACTGTCGTATGTAGCGAGGTGTCGATCTTTTCATGCTTTCTATTGCATATCACGCTGTGTAGTTCTTTCTCTTCATGAGACTTCGTGGACATCCGTGCTTCGTTGACGTTCTCTAACTTTTTTTCTTTTTTTTGCACGGTTGCGAGCTCGTGATGCAAGTGGGCTCCAGTTGCAAGGGACACACAGTTATGAGCTCATAAATTTGTTGCCGATGCTTACATTCACCATGGAGGTACAACTCTCGATATTGGACCAGCGGCAGGGTGGTAAACCATACATTGCAATATCGTTAACAACGTTAATTTAAAAATTTCTCTAACAATAATAACAGACTCGGTGAGCCTTGTAAATTTGGACAATTCATTCAAGCCCGTCAGTATATAGTAACGAAACGGGTTGATTGATATCGGCTTACGTTTTTTAACAAGGTAACACTGCTTTCCCCGCTTACATTCGCCCCGTGAAAAATCCTGGTCGACCGACATGGGATACCATGCCGCGAGCAGGCGAGTCCAAGTTCTGCGTTAACTCGGCGGCGCTCTTCTAGCTGACCGCACCGCTTTCTCTGATTGATCTCTCACCGTTAACTACACTCGTACGGATTTCGTTAATTCATTGATCGTGGACGTTAGTCGTCAGAATGAAGATGTATCGCCAAGCGCCGATTCCTACACTCCAAGCAGTAAATGAGGAATAGGAGGGTCGAGGTTGCTCCTCTAGAGGAGCAACTAACTTACCACACCCATTGCACCATTTTGGGAGTAACTGCGAAGAAGTAACCACACTCTCTTGGTTACTCCTCAAAAGAGCAACACTTAGCAAAAGAAAAATCAGATTTTGGTTGGCTTAACCAGTCTTTCGAAGTGCATGCTGGCCATTTGATTTGACGTACAATTAACGTGCAATCACCACATTCAGAAATAACTTTGGAAACTTTGCAGCAAACACACGGGATTCCAACTCACGACCACTAGGTCAGCGTGCGCGTACACTAACCACTACACCATAACACACTAAGGCACCGTCTGAAGGGAAACAGGCTTGTGCAGGCACTGATGGATCACTTGCACACAGGGCGAACATTTCTGCAGTTACTCCAAAAAACAGGCGCTTTACTCTACAAAGAGGAAAGTGCACCTTCATGCCTTTTAGTGTGCAATCTAATGCGCGCATTCCGTCTTTAGGAGGAGCAAAAAGCCCTTTTCGGGGGTGACTGCGCAGTTCCTTCACAAAACTTTTTACGAGTTTATTCCGGAGAAATCATCCATGCTGTTTGATCCCTCTCCAATTACTGTTATAAAGAGCCAGACATTGTTATATGCGAGCATTTACCCCTAAAAAGTGTTGTCGGCACTGTGACTACGCGGTTGTTACCTTGAACCTTCTTGAAAACACAAGTAACCTTAGTGGTCACGTAATTTAGTAATGAAACCGAGTACATGAATTTTTCTGTGATTACGGATAATGGGCTTAAATGACAGTTTCCGTATAGTTGTCATATAAGACGACCAGCCTGTCGACAGTATATGCAGAGAAAAAGCGGAAATTTACGGGATCAATTTTTTTCTTTGTTATAGACACAACATTAGTCAGAACTAACAGACGATGGTGGCAAGGAAAATATCATCATCAGCTTGACTATTCCCCTTGAAGGACAAAAAACCTCTCCCATGTTGCCCCAGTCAACTCCATACTTTGCTTACTGCTGGCACTTCATACCCGCAAACTTCCTAATCTATCTGCCCACTTGACTTTCTTTCCTTCCCTCACCCCCTTGCCCTCTGTTGGAATCCAATTTGTGATCCTTAATGACAGAGGTTATCTTGCCTTCGCGCCACGTTTCCCTGCTCATGACCATTTCTTCTTGATTTCGACTATGATGTCTTTAATACCCGCTTGTTCCCCGATACGCTGCTCTTCTTGTCTCTTGAGGTTCCACCTATCATTTTCCTTTGCATCGCTCGCTGCGTCGTCCTCAATTTAAGCTGAACCCTCTTTGTAAGCCTCGAGGAAAGTATAGGGGATGTTATTTGTTGCAATTGTAATGTAAATGTGGAGAAAGAAAAGTGGACGAAAGATAAGTTGCTTCTGGCAGAAACCGAACCTAAGACTTTCGAATAACGCGCCCCGATTCTCTGTACCAACTGATCTATGGCGGCGGTCATCCCCTCGTCCACTTTGCGGGGTATATGCGTGTTTATGTTTATGGGGCATATAGAGTAGAAGTAAGCATTCCTCCCTTTGCAACCTGCAAGTATGGATACTGATGGCAGTGAAAACCACCGAGGTGCCGCATCGCGGTAACGGTGTCGGCTGCTGATCCGAAACATGTGGCTTCGACGTGGCCGGCGGCGGCGGTTGAAGTTCGATGGGAAATAAAAGTAGATGCTCGTGAACGTGCGATGTCACGTGAGTGCACGCTAAAGAACTCCAGCCTGCCTCATGCTTCCGCGATGGTTTCGGGCTCCTAAAAACCCCGGCGATTAATATGTTAAGGCGAGACTTAGATTCCTCATAAAGCGCGAAAAGTGACGTCGGTGGCATCGTCAACACGAGTGATAGAAAAAAATTATGCGATGGCGGCACCCGGTGACGTCAACACGACGTCATCATCATCTATAACTTCGTCACTGAAGGGCAAAGCCTCTACCATGTGAACATGGCAGCACGACGTCAAAAATCGCCAAAATATGGGACGCTGTCATGACGTCGCGATGACGTAATGACTGATTGATTGATATGTGGGGTTTAACGTCCCAAAACCACCACATGATTATGATAGACGCCGTAGTGGAGGGCTTCGGAAATTTCGACCACTTGGGGTTCTTTAACGTGCACCCAAATCTGAGCACATTGGCTTACAACATTTCTGCCTGTATCGGAAATGCCGCCGCTGCAGCCGGGATTCGATCTCGTGACCTGCGGGTCAGCAGCCGAGTACCTTAGCCACTAGACCACCGCGGCGGGGCGACGTAATGACATGAAGCCAAATGATGACGTCATAACTCAAAATTGTCGCTTGGTCAAAGGCGTGCCGATCTCGGAGGCTGTACCACCCCACGTAGGGTGTGGCTTTCGGGGGACAAACATAATCGAATGAGTAGAAAAAGAGGGTGCCTTTTGTTTTCGCATCCTCTTAGACGAATGTACAAGAAACTCAGTAAATTTCTGTGTTAGAAACAGGTAGTAAGATTGAAATGTCGCGAGAATGTGAAGTTTATTGTGTATCTTCACACAATAATGGTTACGCAGCAGCTGCCACAGCAGCCCAGCGCCAGTTCTCACGCGTAGCTGCGTCCAAATGTCGATGTGAGGTGTTGTTGGTTGGTGCATTCTCTGTCTGTGGTCAATAAATAACTGCCGTAAACAGCCCTCTTCACGTTTCTTTCTGAAGAAAAGAAAGAAGGAATAGATATAAGAAACAATTCCCAGGTAAATAATGCTGAAACAATGTTTCTCTCAGCCAGATGCTTGCAAGATGGACAGATAAATCAGCGACCCCTTATACTGTATGCAGTGTAAATGCATAAATGGGTGATCGTTATGAACACCCGTTACAGTATGGATGATAGAGCAATATATAATAAAGTAAAGTAGCCATATACTATACACCGCAGTCATGGTTCTCACTTTCATGTATACGGTTACCACCTGCTCTTAAAATTCATGATTCGTGTAGTGAAAACATCCAATCGGAAATATATTGGCTGCCCCACTAACGCCTTGACATTCTGTGTGTTAGGCTGCAAGCTCCCATTGTGTTGGACGCTTGCAACATAAATCACATGCTCATGCGTTAGGGAACCTAACCCAATATCTCCTAGGACACACAGGAAATGTGACTAAAGGTACTCGTACTTGTATATTATAGTAAGAAAGAGCCATGTACAGCAACATCAGCAAAGCAAGAACATGATCAATTCAAAAATTTTCGACCAAACGCGTCATTGTTATTTATATAGTGTTTGTTTTAGACTATTGCTTCGTGCCTGCCAACCACCGCAGCAATGTTTGATGGGCACTAAAGCAAAATAGTTAATGAGTTAAGCCTCCCGAACTCTATGCTGAAAACTCTATTGTCTATAATTTCACAACTATAGATTTATTAATAAATAATAAAATTTCTGTCAACAGTCGTATTTTTAAATTTCCCGCAGACAGATCTGATGGTTTTGTGCTGAACTTGAGCGTTTTTTTTTTCGTATTTCGGCCCCATTGGCTCAACAAGATGTGCTGAAACTCGATATTTTAAGTATTTGGCTCCATCAGAAGACAATGTATTTAGTATTCCTTTTTGGCTGTTTAAGAACTACAAAGACCCTAGCAGATGTCATCGAAATGTATGACGTCGTGACAACAAGCCCAGAAACTTGAATACAAGGTGGCGTCACCACTTGCATTTTTTTTCTTTTGCGCGCGCTTTCCCACTTACCAAGAATCTTCTCGCGGTGCCTTCGGTATCATGAAGGTGTAATTTACTCATGCGCGAAACTGTGCCCTTTAAAATTAGCTGACGTGACAGGCATTCATAACTAAGGACTCAACCTACGGCAGAGGCGGATCGCATTTCTAGTAGGCCCGCAGTCCGGCTCCGTAGCCGGCTGTCCTGGCCACCGGGTACGCTGCCGCAGCGCCGTCTCCGGAGAAAACGCCTGCAGTCCCTGCACCACCGTAGCCTTGCAGGGCGCCTAGCGTCGTCTGGCCGACCTCCTGGTAGGTGACAGCACCGCCAGCAGGCGCGCCAGCCGCCTGCACTTGACTCAGCGAGCTGAGAGAAGGCAGCTGTTTGGACTCGCGGTACAGCGCGCTTGGGGAACCGGGCGCCGCCTGCAGCTGCGTCGCCTGGAACTGGTTCGTGGACGTCAGTCCGGACGTGGCAGCGCCGGCGTTCCCGCCTCCTAGTTGGTACGTCGTTGGTTGGTACCGGGTCACGTGGGAGCTGCCGCCGTTGGCGTACTGCTGAGTCACGGTGGTGCGGACGAAGTTGGGTGCGCCGGCGGGCATTAGTCCCGCCACGCCCTCCTGGTGCACTAAGGGGCTCACGATCAGCTGAGGTGGCGGCTGGGCGCCTGCGCGAACAAAGGAACGATCAGCGTAGCCATTGGGGCTTATTGGTAAATCTTCGTTTTGGAACAGCACGAGGACACAAAGACTCAGAGAGAAGAGAGAGATAAGTGTCTTTATGTACGTACCACGCCTTAATGGAAAGAGGCTGCTAAAGGGCAAGGTCTCTTGGTAGGTCTCCTCTATAACACGAGTGCCCACCTCAGAATAACCACCTGAAGTGCGGAGTTGTAGCTCCCACAGCTCTTGACTCGAAGGATGGGAGTTATGTATTATTACTCACCGCGATCAGCACACACACACAAAAGAACGAAAACACGAGGAAGTGCACGGCACAAGCGCTGTCTAACAAATGAAAGTTTAATGGGAGAAACGTGTCGTATATATGCAAACATGAAGGCATAAAATAACCTTGACACCCCCCCCCCCCCCCCGCCCATCCAAGCACGTGATCAAGTATGCTGTAGAGATATGAAATCTCAGCACCTGTGAAAGCGATTAAAGGCCAGCTCACGCACCTGTCTCCTGCTCTTATGATTTTATACGCTTCAGCCATTTCACACGTTCGCTGATTATTTCACACGTGCCTCATCAACACAGCGGTTTTGTTAAACTCAGCTGCGCAGCCGCACTGCTGACAATGCAGGGCAAGCTGCGTAGATAGTGTACCTTTCAGAGAGCTTGCATGCTCACTAAGACGGATGTTGAGGCAAGATCCCGTCTGCCCAATGTTAAACTAAATTTTGTTACTTGCCTGCAAGGTGATGTGAGCTTAGGAACCCTAGTATATAGGTATAAGGGCTGCTCCATCAGGGAAATTGTTGAAGCATATACTATATTGACAAGAGGGGAATGTGCGCGTGTGTTCACCAGACGTCGATTAACCTCTTAAAAAGGGAGTTTAGGTTTTTAAATGGCACTTGGCCCATGATGTGAGATATATGCTTGTCTAACGTACTTCGTATGAAGTTGTTCCTTTTATATGCGTACCTTGTGTCACTTGGTTTCTTGCTTTCTGTATAGACTATGTATTGAACAGTGGCGTTAATCCCGGAAAATCACAAAGGGGGACACACATCTGCACGAGGTGGCCATTTTGTTTCTTGGAAATATAGCTTGCATTTGTTTTAAAAATAAAAAAAAATTACGCTTTGAAATCAACATTGAAAAAACAAACGGGTTGCCAGCTCGCGTAATTGCATTGTTCTGTTGAGTCCTCTCTGAAGCCGTTCGTGTGGCAGTTGCGACCGCAGTAGTTCCACACAGAGGAGGAATATTAGACGCAGGTACACAATATGAAATTAAGTATTATTAAAGGTATTATCAAAAGCTCTAATAGTATTAAAAGAAGTTAAAAACACCATACGTAACTTTCAAGCAATTTAAATGTATGTCTCATAGATATATTTCAATAAGAACACTTACAAAAGGCGTCCCCCCCCCCCCTTCCCCGGCTTGAGCACAAGTGGGTTCAAGACGTCCCTCCCCTCCCCGTGATTTACGCCAGTTGTGTTGAATAAAAAACAGTTGGTAGGTGACGGGTGAGACAGAGACAAATCTTAAGTGCAGACAATTTAGGTTCTGGCATTTATTCGAATGTTCAGGCTCATTAATCGTTTATTTCTTTAACCTTGACGTTTATGAACTTTTTTTGTTTTATTCATCATGCTCATTGGTTCACTGGGTCTATTTTTGACGTTCATAGGGCACCAGAAGCTGGTGCGAGTCGTCCTCAGAATTAATAAGGGTGACGTACCGTATCCAGCGCCCAGAAAGGCTGGTGAAAAAGCAGGTGCCGCGGCGAATTGCTGCTGCTGGTGGGCGTGCCCGAACAGTGCCGGAGCCGGAGCTAGCGTCAGCTGCGGGGCCCCGGCGCCCGCACTTAGCGCGGCCTCAGCAGCGCCGGCAGCGTACGGGTAGGCGGCGCCGGCAAAGCCTGCAGCGGGCGAAAGTGCCAGCGCCGGGGCAAAGTGGCCGCCACGGACGGCATCTAACTGGCCGTGCACGCCGCTTAGTGCGCAGCAGGCAGCAATGAGGACCCACTGCAGAAAAGAAAAAAAACTGGGGTCTCAGCGTTTTAGTCCGTGGTGGGTGAAGACAAGAGAGGGAGAATGACGAGTGAGTGAGTGAGTGTGAAGCTTCACTCGTTAGCTTGTCTACAAGTCTCAAGACTGATTGATATGTGGGGTTTAGCGTCCCAAAAACCACGACATGATTATGAGAGACGCCGTAGTGGAGGGCTCCGGAAATTTCGACCACCTGGGGTTCTTCAACGCGCATCCGAATCTGAGCACACGGGCCTACAACGTACGTTTCCGCCTCCATCGGAAATGCAGCCGCCGCAGCCGGGATTCGATCCCGCGACCTGCGGGTCAGCAGACGAGTATACCTTAGCCACTAGACCCCCGCGGCGGGGCTACAAGCCTAAAGATGCTGCATCTGATTCTAATAATAAAAATAAACAAAAAACAGAGGGATTAGTGTAGCATGAAGCTACGTGGTTCATTACTTGGTTCCGGAAAGAGAGGGAAGGAAGCAACAGTATAAAAAAAAGTCTGGCGAGTTATTCGGGAATCTGGGTGAATATGCCCGCCTAAATGTTGGCCACGAGCCCTTGAGCTCTGGATAATTTTTTTAACGGGAAACATTTTTTTTCTTCCAATGTCCAAAGGATTATTCGTTTGTGGCTACATGCTTAATAGTAACAGTAGTTCATAACTGCGCATATGAGCGTTGTTCAGTAAGTAGGCAGTTGAATGAACTATAGTTCAAGCTAGGGCAGATATTTGTCCACAACCCCCAAAGGTCCTTTTTTTACATCATCTGACATTGTGCAATCCCAAACGTAACTAACAGATTGGGTTCTCAGAACGTTTGCTTTCGCGTTGTACTTGTAGTCTCATTAGGATAAGTTCAAATCAGTGCTACTAAGCTAACGGTGAGGCTAATTCATGAAAGATCGATTGCGTTAATGTTTATGCGACATTAAGATTGCTGGTTTTCTTTTTTTTTGACGAAGTGGAGGTAGCCAAATTACGTCACCAAAGCCCACTCAGTATGCGACTACAAAGAGTGAACCACAGCACCTGTGCTGGCTGCTCCGACAGATGATATCTGGTGTCAATATTACGATTAATTAATCTACGCATGGTTGACAAAGTGAAATATTTTGGTATATTAGTACAGGTGCTCCACCATCACAGTAGTGAACAGAGAGGATGACGAAAGCGTAAGCTACGATGAAAAAAAAAGAAAATCCTACGAACGGTAGTATACTCTCTAGAACGCTCGGCAGCTATCAAGCCAAACGAGGCAGTGATGGCGGAAGTTCTCATTTAGCTGCAACAGCGGGACGTCTTGCGGAAAAGGAATCTGGCCAAGGAAAAAAATTCGGTCCCCGGGTGGGCTATCGAATACGTGTGTCACAAGTTCCTCTTCCCTTTCCGCCGACATTCCTGCGTGCGCATAACATTGGTTTCCTGAAAGCCGTGTGAATCATCGCTGCCGTGTCAGAGGCGTTCAGGTAGAACGGCCACCGCAGCTTCTAGCTCGTCCGGGTATACACCAATTCATTTTGAAGCAGTTCGTAATAAAAAGAGAGGAGATAAGAAAGCCGCACACGAAACATGTTAATGCGATCACCACAAATACCTCAACACACGCAATCTTGCACAATTAGCGGCCCGAATCTTCAATTCGCGACGTCTGCTACGCGTTGACGCGCGCAGTTGCACTTACGGCGATGCCCCGCCGCGGTGGTCTAGTGGCTAAGGTACTCGGCTGCTGACCCGCAGGTCGCGGGTTCGAATCCCGGCTGCGGCGGCTGCATTTTCGATGGAGGCGGAAATGTTGTAGGCCCGTGTGCTCAGATTTGGGTGCACGTTAAAGAACCCCAGGTGGTAGAAATTTCTGAAGCCCTCCACTATGGCGTCTCCCATAATCATATGGTGGTTTTGAGACGTTAAACCCCACATATCAATCAATCAAACTTACGGCGTTCATGGCGATTTCGCGCGGGCGTGTCGTTGTTTTCCCCAGGCAGCCGGCCACCAGCGGTGCGTGGCAGTGGTCCTCCTTAGCGAGAGCTCAAATGGGGCCTGCCCTGGGTGCAATGGCGCATCTTATAGGCACCGGAAGCTGGCCACGAGTGATCCCGGGGGACGATACCGATTCCTTCTGTCCACGAGACTCACGTAAAAGGGAAGCGACTCGCTTTTTATCCGGCGTGTTCGATATTCGGCCGAACCGTCTCTATTTCCGGTGCCGTGGTCCAGATCAAAGACACCTCCTCGCTCTGTGTGATGGCACGCATAGACGCGAGATAAGACTTCGCGACGACTCGCTGCTGCTTCGATTCAATCGAGTATGGGTCACCGAACGGGGGTCTGGAAGCTTCCGGAGTCGTTGCGCAAGCCGGAGACGCGTAGGTGTCAATGTCGAGGCAGAAGAGGTGAAATGTTCTTGAACGTGGGTGTCGCTGGGGCCAACGCTCCGGTAATGGTGCTCCGGTAATGGTGTAGAGGATGTAACTTATATATTTATTCGATTTGAATACACAGAAAACACCGAACCACAGAGGGAAAAGAGGGACGGAAGAGGCTGACAACCGCCACCTACAGGGGCACAACGCCCGCCTGCTCCCTCGGGAAGGGGAGACAGAGGAATTGATTGATTGATTGATATGTGGGGTTTAACGTCCCAAAACCACTATATGATTATGAGAGACGCCGTAGTGGAGGGCTCCGGAAATTTAGACCACCTGGGGTTCTTTAACGTGCACCCAAATCTGAGCACACGGGCCTACAACATTTCCGCCTCCATCGGAAATGCAGCCGCCGCAGCCGGGATACGAACCCGCGCCCTGCGGGACAGCAGCCGAGCACCTTAGCCACTAGACCACCGCGGCGGGGCGAGACAGAGGAAAGGAAGATATGAGGAAAGAGAAAGAAAATAAAGGAGGAACAAAATAGCGCAGACGTAAACACAAATAAGCGCTCGCACAGAAAATGTCTACAAACGCGGGGCCAAACGGGTATTTTAAAAGAAAGTTAGTAGGCCGCTATATGATCACACCTCGCAGCCCATTCTCTTAAGAACAGGGAATAATCGAGGTTATGCACTTCAGTCAAATAAGTACATAATTCTTGACAAGCAGTGTTCGCTGCTTAACAAATCTGGGACACTCTAAAACTAGGTGTTTTCGTTTCTCACAGGAGCCGCACGACGTACATAAGGAACTTTCCACAAACGCTTGACGATGCAATCATTCGAGCACCAACACAGAGCCAACTCTTAGATTATATAACGGGGCTCTGTCACAACGAGGCGATCCACGACCACGAATACAGGGAGGAAACAATCCTCTCGCGTCGTGCCGTTCCGGGTGCTGCTTTTTAAGAACCCGGCAGATCAGTAGACGAGGGTTGTTAAACAGCCATGAAGTTTGTTTGCGCCCGTGGTGTCTGTTTCTTCTCGTCCGTGTGTATGTTGCGCCAAAAAATAGCCATTCGATGAAAAATTCGGCCCTATAGCGACGTTGCTACGAGTACCTCAGTGTGTCGATGGCGCTTACCGCTGTTTATGAACATGGAATAAGTCTATAACATGACAATGGCGGAACGAGAACTTAAGGTGAGCGGGGGAAAAGATGAGGAGAGAGAAACTAAAACGTAGCACAGATAGAGGATTAGAAAAATAGAGAAAATGAGAGGGAACAGGGATATATATATATATATATATATATATATATATATATATATATATATATATATATATATATATATATATATATATATATATATATATATATATATAGAGAGAGAGAGAGAGAGAGAGAAAGAGAGAATCCAAGAAAATAAGGAATTTTGAGACTCGAGATGGAATGATAGAGGAGGCGAGAAACAGAGAGATAACGAAAGAAATAAAAGAGACAGAATGATAGGAGTGAGAAATACGTAGGAACACCGTATAATGATTAATCAATTTAAACGCGAATTAGCCCCAGAATTTCGCTACCTAAAGCCGGCCCTCACATTACAATCGAATACCCAATCCTGGATGCAACGGAAAGTCATCTCTCGCGTAAAATCGTGGTCGCTTTACAATCGAGTAAATATGGTATATAGAGAAAGACAGAGGTGGATATAAAAAAAACACAGAGAAAAAATAGAGAGAAAGAAATAGTGGAATAAAAAAAAAAGAAAAAAGGCAGGCCACCTATATCTGCACTTTCTTCAAGCTTGGAACCAAATATTCCTTAATTCATTAGTATTTTTTTTTGCACTTACTTGACGACACTATAAAATTTTGAAGTAAACCTGTACGAATTTACGAAACAGTGTGTCGAGTATGATGATAAATTATTTTGTGTGGTTTTAACAAGGCCTCAAGCATGGATCATTTTTTTTAATGCAATACTTCTTTTTTTTTGAGAAATCGATACACCTTGTCGCGTTGCTGTTCACCACTGTCAGCAGGAGAAAGGGAAACTTTTCATGCATTGATCGATTGATACGTGAGGTTTGACGTCCCAAAACCACCGTATGATTATGAGAGACGCCGTGGTGGAGGGCTCCGAAAATTTCGACCACCTGGGGTGATTTAACGTGCACCAAAATCTGAGCCCACGGGCCTACAACATTTCCGCCTCCATCGGAAATGCAGCCGCCGCAGCCGGGATTTGAACCCGTGCCCTGCGGGTCAGCAGCCGAGTACCTTAGCCACAAGACCACCGTGGCGGGGCGAAAATTTTCATGCATCGCCCCACAATGTGTGGGTTGCCGCTTAACTGATCTGCTAATATTTTCGTATACTGCGTATTTGTAGCTGTTCTTGATAATGTGGTCGCAGTATACGTGGGTCATACTTATAACTTCGCTTCTTCATTGTTCTCATCTAAAGAAGCATGCTGTGCGTGCTGCCAGACAATACTTTCTCTAGACGTGTTGAAATATTATAAATAAATAAGTAAGGGCTGTCCACATCAAAAATCCCGCCCAAAACTTATAGATGACACATGTAGAGCCAGAAAACAGATCATGAGACAAAAGACAAGAAAGCGTCCCCGTATAACTGTTCGTAACTGTAATAACTGTCGGGGTTTCACGTGCCGAAACTACGATACGATTATGTGACACGCTACAGTGAAGGGCTCCGGAAAATTCAACTATATACTTGGGGTTCTTTAACGCGCACATAAACCTAAGAAGGCGGGCTTGTAGCGTTTCCCCCCAATCGAAATGTGGCTGGCTCGGCCGGGATTTGGTACCGCAATCAGCGGATTGTAGTACAGTCAAACACAGTGAACTTTTCGTGTTCTGCACTGTGTGGTGATTCTTTTGTCGAGCAATATCATGTCGATAATTGAACACCTGATCACCCGGCTACATTTATTAATATTAAAGCTTATCAATTAGAATAAATTTGCTCAAAACGTATCGGCATGTAGGCTAGTTGATAAGACATGTTATGGCAACGCGAACCAGGTTACACAAAGAACACGCACACAAAGGCGCGAAACAAGCGCCGAGTGTCGCTTGTGTCGTATATACCCTTGTGTGCGTGTTAGTTGTGTAACCTGGTGTGAGGTGCCGCATGTCGCAATACGTGGCGCTTCGATGTGATGTGGACAGTGCTCGAAGAAGCTCTGATGTCACTTGCAACGTGCTCAGAATACCACCAAGTTTGTGCAGGTGGTGGTCTAAAGGTTCATCTGTATGTGGGCCGTCTTTTTCTCAGAGATACATTCAGCGAAGAAACACATCGTGGAGTGAGATAGATAGTGGGAGAGGAGAAGTAACAAGATTATATATATATATATAGTGCATTGAAGCGAAGGCTAATGCAAATGCGGAGCTTGTCCACTAATCGCTATCGTCTCAGTAGAAGTGCCGTCGCGCACCTGCCATCTGTGGGTCGCAGTATTTCCAGGAGGGCGGCAACTGCCGAGAAGAAAGACGCGGGGAGATACCGGGCGCTCTACATTTACTTCTTTTGTTTTCCGCGTTCGTGATGGCCTGCAATGTGGCCGACCACGCAGGATTGTATCTTCTTTTTTTTTTTTTGCCTTCGTCGACAGCGATGTGCATCACCACGCACACAGAGAATGTCAGCTGGTTCCTCACAGATGGCGAGAGTTTCGGGGCAAAAAAAGAAAAAAAGTGAGTTAGTTGAAAGTGACCCGAGTTACTGCTAACGGAGGCAGATTGCGTTCGTAAGAGTGTAACGTTGCGTGGTTAAGTGCGGTATATAGCACGGACCCCTTGGCCATGCTGGTTATATTAGGCTGTAAGACAGGGAGGCCATCGTTCTGGCGTGGGAGAGACAAAATAAAAAACAAACGTGGTAAGAAAGGGCGACAAGAGATAGCGCAGGAGTGTTAAAGTTAGAACAATGTTGCAGTTCGCTGATATGCAGCTGATACGGATTAAGGAAAGAAGAAAAGTCAGACAGTTTCCGCTGTTTCCTGAACACGACCTGAAATTTGTGCAAAACTGAAGTTTTTTTGTTCTACCTAGATTATCTCAACCGTGACTTTATGAAAAGACAGTTCATTCGGAGATCATTCGCAACTAACAGACAACGATGTAAGGAAAGTATAGGCAAAGTTATGAGAAGTAATTAGTTTTAATAGCATCTCCTATACTTTCCTTGTATAATTGTCTGTTAGTTTTCATATCGGGGTATCAAACGAAGAAAACGAGCCCTAAATTCGAACAAATCTACAAGACAAGCGCATGCGCTTGTCCTGCGTTTTTTCGCGCCATTTGGGCTTACCATAATTTACTAACTCGCCGAACAACCTATGCTACCATGATCGTCACTTGACCTAAATGGTTCAGTGTTGAAGCTCTGTACCTAAAGGGACATTCACTTTCCCACTTTAGTGAGACAATCACTTTAAGTTAACAATTTTTACTCTGAAAACTCTAATATTGGTAAATTAGAGTTTTTAACACAACAGCATGTGTAGGTCAGTGTCTAATTTTTAAAATTCCGCATGG